TTAGAATCTAAACACAAAGATGAAATAAAAAGACAAAAAGAACTAATCTCATTTTTACAGGACGTCATTAAAAACAAACCAACTGACTACAATAAAAAATTATATAAACCAGAGAAAACTAAATACAATGTATTGCTAAAAAAATGCAAAACAAAATAACTTACTTCAACAAATTAATAATTCAGACAATAAATCTAAAATGTATAGCAAATAATAAATAATGAACCAGGGCGTAATAATAAAAATAAAGTAGAATCAGAAATCGATATAGAAACCTTTAATAAATATTTTGTAAATTATTCATCTGATATAGTAGAAGGCATCCTCAATAACAATAAAAATAAAATTGAGTTAACTTGTTATAACCGAAAACATCAATCACTTTTTTTAGCTCCTTTTACTGAATCTGACACCATAGATATAATACGAAACATTAAATCAAAAAGAACTCAAGATATATATGAAATTAATACTTATTTATTAAAAAACTGCGTCCAAAATATTGTTGTTCCTATTACTGAATTGATAAACTGTTGTTTAGCTGAAGGTACTTTTCCAGATATTTTTAAAACGTCCAAAGTTCTACCATGCCACAAAACAGGAGATGACTCACCTGAAAATTTTCGCCAAATACATATTTTACCATGTTTTTCTAAAATACTTGAAAGTGTTATAGTAAAACAAATTGTGCATTTCTTTGAAAACACCAACCTGTTTTCTGCGGAACAATATGGTTTTAGGCATGGGAAAACAACTACAGATGCCATGCTGGCTTTAATGAATAACATTTAGGAGTCTTTAGAAAACAAATCACACAGCCAAATGCTTTAGACAGATCAGTGAATATAGCTACGCATTGTAAGTCACACATTGTTAATCAACAAACTAGATAAATATGGCATTAGAGGCATTGCAAATAAGATGATTGCTTCTTATTTGCAAAACAGACAACAACGTGTATATTACAGAAATAAACTTAGTAAATCTTTATTAATGAAAAGAGGTGTTCCACAAGGATCCGTACTAGGCCCTCTATTATTTTTAATATATACCAATGATCTTCCATCATATAAGAATTCAAATAATGCCGAATAACTAACTACCATGTAAGTATGCAGATGATACCAATTTCTCATATCACTGCAATAACACATCTGACATAGTTATCAAAAACTCTTAAGATTATGACTGAAGCTTAACAATGGTTTGATAGCAACGAATTATTTTTAAATCACAATAAAACTGAAACATATGTCTTCAGGTTGAACCAAAGTACTAGCGAAACAATGAACACTAAATTTCTCGGTATATATTTTGACACACAACTTAAATGGAACTATCAAATAAATAACTTATGCAACAAGTTCGCAAAATTCACGTTTGCTCTACGTAGAATATCAAATACAGTTAATACAGAAGCAGCAATAACTACTTATTATGGCTTATTCCATTCCAATTTAACATATGAGATTCTAACTTTACTACAAAGACTTTTTATCTTGCAAAAATTAGCAGTTCGCTCTATTCCGCGGGTAAATTATTATGAACCATGCCGACCACTATTTAAGCAACTTAGCATAATGACCCTGTTTTCGCAAATAGTATTTGAAAACTTGCTAGCCATAAAAAATAATTTGGGAAACTTCACATGTCACTCAGACAATCATACATACGATACCTAAGGGAAAATTCAGCTAATCCAAACAAGAACTAGAATAAACAAGTCCCGAACAATAGGCATTTCATTCTATAATGCACTTCCGCCCCACATCCATAATCTACCAGGAAAAAAGTTTAAACATCAAATTAAAAAGATATTACTGGACATGTATCTATATAACACTAATGATTATTTTGTAAGAGTGAAACATGTCACCTAATATTTTTAATATTGTATTTTTATATATATATTTTATTTACTATTACCAACCATGATCTTTTAAAATCCTATTTTATTTTAAATTTTATATGAGTATGCTGTATGTAAAATGTGGTGTATTTTACCATTTATGTGTACTGACGACTATTTAAACATGTTTATATATGTATTACTGAGAATAAATACTTTACTTACTTTACAAATATGTATATGTATATATGCATTGTAAGTATTCTTTTTTTCTTTCTATATTTTTTATATTTTTTTTTGATGAATGTAAATGTCTAAAGTACATAACACTGAATACAGATTATTATTATTACAACCTAATATTTTTCAGGTTTAATTAAAAATGCTAAGCTGGTTATACTCGATAATTATACTGAAACCCCAGTTTTACTCAAAGATAATAATGAAACCTCAGTTTCACTTAAAGAACAAACAATGGCAATGATCTCAGATACTTAAACTACGGAAAATTATCTTAATGAAATTTTATCATCACAGAAATGCACATTATGTTCAGAAGAAAATGTATGTGACCATTATCAGAACAAAAACAATATTAAAGTGATAAGAGATGCATGCCACGAAAGTCTAAAAAGGCAAGCAAATAAAATGCTACAAACTTCTGGGAAGAAATTTAAACCAGGAACTATCGGCATGTTCGTGAGAGTGCCCATTCCAGACATAGACAGAAGTCGATTAAATCATAGGAAACGTATTGAGCGTAATAATGAGTACAGAAGATGAATTTTATCAAATTTCGACTGTTCACAGTGTCCTTAAACAGCTGTATTCCCGCAACGAATTTGAAATATGCAAGCAACAGTTTGTAAAATTAGAAAATGTCAAGAAAGACATGGAAATAATATTATGAAGTGCTGCAGGTTCAACCCAAGGTTATGTGTGCTATCAATGTAACAAGCATTGCATGAATAAAAAGTGCTAATATTTTGCATCTGGATATACATGTAACACAAGTGCCACAACAGTACACCTTGCTCTAATAAATAATAATTTTCTTTGTTTTGTGATTGCAATGTTTTTTAAAGTTTCTTACTAATATTTCGACAGGCAATTAGTATATTTGTCATTTTTGTTTTTTTACTTATTTTTAAGTAGTAATAGCAATGTTATATTATACCTATAAATAAACTTTATTTTTTACCAAGAAATATTTTATTAATTTAATATAAATTTTTAATTAAATTTTTATATTAAAGATATTAAAAATTTTTAAATATAGACTAGGATTAGATACCCTATTATTTAAAAAGTCCTAAACTAAATTAACCAAAGAGGTTTGGTTAGTTTACATACTAACCAACGAGCTGGTTATTATGTAGGTATTACTATGAATATTAAGTTCACACTTTATCCAAATACTATGGATAATTTGTAAACTGGCCAAAAATACCAGTTAATTTGTGTACTTTTCTTGTGGTTTGTACTTTGGGGATAAATATTCTATAGTTTGTAAACTAGCTGGTTAGTATACAAACCAACCAATATTCATAGATATTTTAGTAGTCTATAAACTAGCCTAGTGAACACTTTAACTGTAAACATATATAACACCAAGAGTCAAACCCCAACTGTCGCTTAGCAAATAAATAATATAAGCTCATAAATACACTTACTTTTTTGGAGAACAGACCACAAATGCCCTTTCTTCTTTTGCTTAGGACCATTTCTCACAGTATGTTCTGATGATTTTGAGTTTATTATGGTTTGTTTGCTGCTACAAGGCTGTGCAAAATAATCCGGATATCCAATAGGCTCGCTTTTTATTGTAGGCAAATCATAATGCGATGTCAAAAGTTCACTTTCATTTTTAATCTGAATATATTCACTTTCTTTGCTAATAACAGGCTTGATATCGCCAAAATCTGCTGCTTCAATTTCACTAGCGTACTCTGGTTCTTTTTTAATAGTGTTAAAAACATTATTAACATTGTCGCGCACCGATTCGTATTGAATGTTTTCCAGAAATTCAGAACCTTCAATTTTAGGTAGTTTACATTCTAGTTTGATTTTATCAAAATTTACGAACTCCCTCGTTGTTTGATATTCACAAATATTGTCAGTATCACCAAGAACACAGTCTTGATCGTTTTTAAACGTTTTATCTTCTGTAGGACACCAATCATTTCCATTTATTTGGTCAGAAACAACCCCCGTTTCCATTTTAATTATCTCTGTATTAGGATCAAAGAATTTTTGTTTCACATCCATCGTTTTAATGACTGAATTAACGATAAGAATTTAGGTACTGTTGTCTACAAATTTTCCTTCCAAAACACAATATGGAGTTTATTGAGTTACTTTTTAAAAATATATAAGAAAGCAAGTGAGAATAAAAATAAAAACAAATATTTTGAAGTATGACAGCTGACCTGGCAGACAGCGTTGCCAACCCACAGTGTTGCCAACCTTGAAGTAAGCTATTTCCCTCTTCTTACCTTAAAAATTCCCACTTTTATGAAAAAATTCCCTCCTGTTAACAAAATCCGTTTTATACCAGAAATACAAGCATATACATATTTTTCAAAAAATATTTATTAAAAG